GAATTATGACCATATCCTCCAAAGCACTCACAACCCCTCCCAGCTTGGGATCATCTGCAAACTTAAAAAGCATCCTCTCTATGCCAATAGCTAAATTGTTGATGAAGATATTGAACAGAACTGGTTCCAAAACAGACCCCTGATGTTGTAGTGTCACCTATTGATGGACACAACTGCTCATTCACTTGTAGGTGTGGGGGTGATCAAAACTTCTGCCCCCAGCGTGTTGACCTTACAATGGGTCAGCGCGCTCCTCTTCTTCATGGGGAATGTGTCTGGGATTGACCTATGCTGGTGCCACCTTTCTGGCACGTGCGTTTCTGCAACCCCAGCCATAGTCTCGCCAGGTTCTGCGAGCTGGGCCTGCCTTGGGGGGACAATTCCACTTGGCTGCAATGGAAATTTCCATTCCCTCCTCGGCCACACAAACGGCCTCTGAGATACGTCTTTCTGCACAGAGACAAACAAGTGACGTATTAGGGGGTTACCCGTTCATGTATGCGCGTACCCCCTCCCCCAATTATTGTGTATATGTGTGCAGCTGCAAAGTGCTGGCAACTTTAGCCAAAGCCTCTGACCTCACTCTAGGCCTCTGCTACAAAGCCTCAAGTCTCAGGCCCCCTTCAACTGTGAGAGGTGTTTCCAACAATGATCTCCTCACCCTCTCGACTCGTGCGCTCGCATGGCAGTTTTAATAAGTCCCCCTGTGGTTCCTCTAATTGTTATTATGTCCTGCCCTTTACTCTGGGGGGCACCTAATTTGGGAGGCAAAGATAGAGGTAGAAGCAGACGGGATAATTAATCTCTGTAGATGTGTCGTCCCCAGCCCAGGGAACACATCCCAGAGGGTGCAATAGCCACTGGAGTTCATTAAAATCTTGATATTTCTAATGAGTGCCAGATTGGGCCTTCTCATTGTCCCAGAGACCAGACTTGGAAGTTATTCTGGGTTGGCATCAGCTGCGTTCCTTGTATCCCCTCTCACAAACTCCAGAGCTGTAATGAGATTGGACTTTTCAAATGTGTACAATCACTGCCATCAGCATGGGTATTATGGTAGGACCTACAGCCTGCCATCGAGACATGGGACCCTCTGGGAAACACCCGGGACAGATGCAAAGAGAGGGTCACAGCCTGAATGCAACACATGTGTCCTAGATGAGAACATCAAAGGACTGAATTCTCCCTGGGTAACATAAGGGGAAACTGAGGCATGTAGTGCTGTAGGGAGTTTCTGAAAGGCCTATAGGGACTCTTCGACAGAGCCTGTTCAGGACTTCACATCCCCTGCACCCCTCTCCTTTGTCTTAAACACAAGGTCATGGTTTGCAAATATTTCCCACGGGCTCATTAAATGTATGGACGTTGAGTTAGGGTTGACCAGATGTCCCAGTTTTTGGAGCGTTTAGGTATATTAAGCATGTAGTACTCTGTGCAGTGAGATGCTGAGGGATGTCAGCGATGGGGTCTAGACCAGGGGTGGCCAACTCATTCCGGACAAAGAGCCAAGATATTAGTGGATCCAGCACAAAGAGCCAGGGAAAAGTTGTAGAACAAAAAAACAAAAAAGAAAGAAAGAAAGGCCTGCCCCTTTAAGAAGTGCTTTTCTATGCTTTTTGGCCTCAACAGGCTCCCTCCAGCTGCTGCCATATTGTGAGTACAGGGGAGCCGGGAGGCAGAGGCCATTCTCAGGGGCGACTTCGTGAGCTGCATGTACAGTGGGAGAAAAGCCGCATGCAGCTCGTGAGCTGCGGGTTGGCCACAGCTTGTCTAGACAGTATTGGGTCCTGCCATGAGGGCAGGGACTGGAGTCGATGACCCCTCAAGGTCCCTTCCAGTTCTAGTGTTCTAGGATTCTACCTCAAGGCACAGTGTGTGTGTGTGTGTGTGTGTGTGTGTGTGTGTGTGTGTGTGTGTGCGTGCGTGTGTGCGCGCCCCTCTGCCTGCTGAAGGCTAAAATCAGTGGGGGTATATCTAGACTACAGGCTTACGTCGACATAAATTTTGTCGACAGAATCTGTTGACAAAACTTATGTCAACATAGAGCGTCTAGACTACATCCAGTTCTGTCAACAAAGCAAGCCGCTTTGTCGACATAACAGTGTAGACGCAAAGGACAGTGTAGATGCAATAATGCCTTCTATTGACAGAACTCTGTCGACAAAAGGCGTTATTCCTCGTAGAATGAGGTTTACATACGTCGACAAAACTGCTGAGTTCTGTCGATGTTATGTCAACATAACTCCAAGGCAGTGTGGACGCAGGTATAGTTTTGTCGACAAAAGTCCACCTTTGTCGACAAAACCCTGTAGTCTAGACATACCCTGGAAGTCGAACTCCCTGGTGGTGGGACGGTGTTTCTGCCCAGAGCTACAAACCAGGAAGAGCCTGCCTGGCAAAGGCCAGGGTTGAGCATGTGTGGTGTGTGGGAGGTAGAGCCAGCTGCAAGGAAGGTGCAATTAGCAGCCAGCTGCCTGGCCAGGGGAGGGTGTGGCGAGCAGGTGGCCAGTGAGTGGCCAATGCAGTGAGTGAGTTGCTGGGGGGTGAAGTCTGCAGAAGGCCTATGAACCTTGGCTCTGCCCTGGCCAAGGACAGTGACCCCGAGAGGGATGCACCTATGGGTGAGAACCCAGAGGGAAAAGGACCCCGCCCAACCAACTTGGGTGGACCTTTTGCTCAGGGTTCAAGTTGAGGAACCCTGTTTGCCATGTGGGTGCCTAGTGGAAAGGGGGGGTGCAAAGGGGCTCCCCCACCCCCAGACCAATTATTATGGTCTGGGGGTGGGGAAGCCTAGAAGAATTCTGGTCCTGCTCTTCTGTATTAGGCCCTGATCCTTCCTGCCCAGCCCGGGGCCACTTCTAAAATTTTGGAAGTGGCCCCCAGCCAAAAATTATTGCCCACCCCTGCTCTACGCTCTCACGCTGGGGAAGCACTGACGTGGGAGGCAACCCAGGTCTGCTGTGAAATTGGCCCAGGTGACAGGGTGGTGGCACCAGCTGGTTCTGTGTTGTGCCCATGGAAAGGAACCTCTGGATCTTGCACCTGGCCGAAAGGAGAGCGTTGGGCGGCCTACGTTCCTGGGCTGTCTGTGGGTGGGATCAAAACAGTGGCTTCTGGAGTGAAAGAAGTCCCCCAGACCATCGGAAAGGCTGTGGAGCAGAGTTCTGTACCTTCCGGCCTGGGAGTGGTCTCACCTGCTGTTGGGTGGACAGAACACGGCAGAGATGTGTGTGGGTGACACCTATAGGCTACATCGACACTGTGGCGTTGGCTGCAAGAGCCTATGCAAAGGAAGTGTGGATTAGCATATCTCCGTGCTTCATTTTCATAATTTATTCAAGCCGTTTTTGTGCAAGGGTTTTGGTGCAAAAACAACAGGGGTTTTGCGCAAGAAAAGAGTCCATGTTTTTGCACAAAACCAGCTTAAATAAATTATGCAAATGAAGCGTGGGGATATGCTAATCCGTGGTTCATTTGCATAGGCTTTTGCAGCAAACACTGCAGTGTAGACGTAACCATAACGAAACACATGAAGAGTTCAAGGTGTGGGCATTGCGCTGGAGATTTTCCAAGTCCTCTGTGCTCTTCGGTGCCGACTGAATTCAATGCATCTCCCTTAAGCAATGCTCGCCCTTCAGCAAGTTGAAGACGTTTGGTGTAATCTCCATCCCTAGAGGTGTTTCAGTCCCGGCTTGACCAAGCCCTGGCTGGGATGGTCGAGTGGGGGTTGGTCCTGCTTTGGGCAGTGGGCTGGACTCGATGACTCCTGAGGTCTTGTTCAGACCTGGGATCCTAGGATTCTGATCTTGTGGGGACTGGGTTGGCAGAATCTCAGATTCTGGGATTCTAGGATTCTTGGATTCTACCAAAAGATGAGGGGATGGTTCACTAGCTAGGGGATAGGAACCAAAAACGTGGGGTTGTTTGGAACAGTGTCGGGGTACCTCTTAGACTCACGTTGTTTCCACTCTCCCCTTGTGCTCCTGTGCATACCGAGCAGCGCCTGCCTCGCTCACTGTGGACCCGCCTTGCCCCAAATACCTGGTGGGGGAACAACTGTCGCTCCCCTGTGTGGATCCCCAAATGGACAGATTCTACAGTGAAGGAAATGGGGAAACTTTTTCCAGGAATCCTGATACCAAAGGGGAGCCCAACTTTTCTTCCCTTTGCTTCACATGGTGGATACTGGCTCGTACACATGCAAATACTTGCAAAAACAATCGGGGCAAGAGAGCCTGTCAGTGGGAAGCTGACCCATCTGTTTCCATGCCGGGTGAGCACCTCATTCATGCTGAGCTGGATGGGTACGGAGAGCGGATCCTATTTCATGGAGGATCTCCATGGCTCACAATCCGGGTTCCTTCCAATTTGGAAAGAAAGCCAAGAATTTGGAAGGTCCCTCTTGAAGGGAAGGGGACTTGACTTACGAGGAGGGGCTGGAGTACCTGACCTACAAGGAGAGACTGAGGGATTCAAGCTTGTTTAGTCTGCAGAAGAGAAGAGCAAGGGGGGATTTGGTAGCAGCATTCAACTCCCTGAAGGGCGTTTCCTAAGACAATGGAGAGAGGCTGGTCTCAGTGGTGGCCGATGGTAGAACAAGGAGCAATGGTCCCACATTGCAGTGGGGGAGGTCTAGGTTGGATAGTAGGAAAAACGATTTCCCTAGGTGGGTTGGAAGCACTGGAATGGGTTCCCTAGGGAGGGGGTGGAATCTCCATCCCTAGAGGTGTTTAAGTCTCGGCTTGACACATCCCTGACTGGGATGACTGAGTTGGGGTTGGTCCTGCTTTGGGCAGGGGGCTGGACTCGATGACTCTTTAGGTCTCTGCCTGCCCTGGGGTTCTAGGATTCTATGACAGCTAGGGATTTTTAGGAGCATTTCTAGAGCTCCAGATAGACCAGATAGGGAAGGCGAGAGACCCAGAGATTCACAAAAGCCACAAGAGGAGACATGCAGATGTATTTGTGGATGCGTTTTCATACAGCTCAACTTCCTGCCCCTGCACTAGCCGCACATCAACGTGCATGTGTCCGATCCCCTTTTAGTTTTCTCAGAGCAGATTTCACCTCCTTGTTGCGCAGTGCATAGATGGCTGGGTTCAGCATGGGTGTCACCACGTTGCTGAAGATCTGAACGGGCGGCCCCAGCACCTGGCTCAGGTGGGGCTGGGTGTAGATCAGGGCACAGGGTCCAAAGAAGAGCGTTACCACCGCCAGGTGGGAGGCGCAAGTGGAGGCTGCTTTGCGCCACGCATGGGCCGAGTTCATCTTGAGGACGGCGTAGATGATGCGGACATAGGACGTGAGGATGAGAAGGAAGCAGGTCAAGGGCACCAGACCAATATTGGTGAAGGCCACAGTCTCGAGGATGTGTGTGTCCGCACAGGCCAGCTTGACCACGGGGAAGATGTCACAGAGGAAATAGTCCACCACGTTGGACCTGCAGTAGGGCAGAGTGAAGGTCAGGCTGGTGAGGATGGTGGCGTGGAAGGAGCTGGCAATCCAGGAACCGGAAGCTAGGAGGGAGCACATCCTCCGGTTCATGATGAGCAGGTAGCGCAGCGGGTGGCAGATGGCCACGTATCGGTCGTAGGCCATGACGGTGAGGAGCAGGCACTCGGTGCTGGCCAGGAAGTGCCAGAAAAAGACCTGGGCCATGCACCCACCTAGGGAGATGACTCTGCTCTGATCCCAGAGGATGGCCAACAATTTCGGGGTGCTAACGGAAGAAAGGCCAATGTCCAGTACAGAGAGGTTGCAGAGGAAGAAGTACATGGGGGTGTGCAGACGAGGGTCGCCGAGAATGGCGGAGAAGATGACCCCGTTGCCCAGCAGGGTACATAGGTAGAAGGCTAAGAAGGTGAAGAAGAGGATGGTCTGGAGGCCATCGGTGTTGGGAATCCCTAGGAGGATGAAATGAGTCACCACCGTGCCGTTCCCCAGCCCCATTTGGGACTCATTCCTGGGTGGAGGGGAGAAATAAGACCAGTGAGTGTCTGAAACGTACATCCATCTTCCCATGGCAGCAATGCTCCCCTGTCCTTCCACTGCCTCTGCGACTCTACCTCTTTGGGCTTGGTGTGTATGTCTGGCAGTGTCATGCCATTTGGGGTGAACGCTGCCCCGGGATGGTGCTGATCTTGAAGGGAGAAAATATTGGCCTGGAGGAGCCTATGGTCCGGAGATGAAAAGTCAAAGGAAACGTCTATTCTATTCTATTCTATTCTATTCTATTCTATTCTATTCTATTCTATTCTATTCTATTCTATTCTATTCTATTCTATTCTATTCTATTCTATTCTATTCTATTCTATTCTATTCTATTCTATTCTATTCTATTCTATTCTATTCTATTCTATTCTATTCTATTCTATTCTATTGACCTATGCCAATTACTTCTTTTCTATCCTATCTAGGTCCTTTCTCCCAAATCTACCCAAGAACCTTTGAGCCTGCCATTTGTACTAATATTTCACATTCATGGTTTGTTCTCTCTCACACGCCCTCTCTGCCAAGTGTTGCCCATGTGGGCAGGGCAGCGCTCAGTTTCTGCTGGGGGTTGTTCTGAATGCCTGTGCCACTCTGTGTTTGCTCTCAGGAAGAGGAGGAGGATGGAAGACACAAACCCATGAATGTAATGGAACACAGACCCCACTCTGTTAGGGTGCATCTATACTATACCCTTAGCTTGAAATAATTGGCGTCACTGTATTCGATTCTTTTTCAGAAGAGGCTATTTCAAAAACTGGCACATCTACGCCGCATCAAATTTCGAAATAAAATGCCATTTTGAGACATCCCTTCTTCGTTGAGGAATGGGGTGTTACAGGGATGCCGAAACCTACGTCTGCTATATTTTGATATAGCGGATGCGTTCAAAAGATGCGGGGTAGCTAGTTCAGGATACCTCCGGCATCTCGAAATAGCATTGCAGTAGACACATACCCTTAGTGACGGGAGCGATTGGGTGGGCGTTATGATGTCCGATACGGTAGGAAGAGTCACGAAGCGGAAGGGAAATAGGCACAGCTGGAAGAGCTGGAAGTTGGGGGGCTGGAGGGTTTGTCAGATTTCATGCCAGGGAGGGGTTATGGTGAGATCTGCAGCCAGTGAGGAAGGGTTTGCCGTTCACCAGGGAGTTTCCCTAAGCAGGCGATGAAGAGCCAAGGGGAGACACTGGAATGTCGGGGCTACGAGGAGAGGGAGGTGAATGAGGTAGAGACAGGCAGGCGGGTGCCACACAGGGGAGGACGGAGGGACCGATTTTGCTCCAGGGACGATATTTTGCCTCAGCGCATGATGGACTGTGACCGGTTCAGAGACAGGCAGAAACGGAGGGAGAGAGAGAGAGAAGATCTTTCCCAAAGCAGGAACCTTACATTGGCTGCATCGGGAGCGGTCCTTCCAGTTGATGGCAATTCTTCCTTCCTATCTCTCGGCGATGGCTCTAGCATCTTCCGTCTGTCTCATCCCAATGGCCCCTCGGCCGGGACAGAGGCACAGCCTGGGTGTTTGCAAGGAGCCCTAATGCCCGCTGACATGAACAAGGGCTGCCGGAAGCACATCGCCCCATGCTGCTACCCGCCCCACGGCTTCCTCACCACTTGCAGTCTCCCTGCAGCTCTCCTTGGTCTTTATAGCCCATCCAGCCCTGTGGGACCAAGGCCTTGAGTCTCCTCCTGGCTCCCGGTCTGAGACCGCAGCAGAGTCGCTGATTAATGGAGATGGGGCAACATTTCAGATCATGGCCATAGGCCCCTGGGACCTGGCCTTCAGGCAGCATAAATAATTGTAGCGCCGTGGGGCAGAAAGGGCCCGATCCCCCGCTGCACCAGCATCCGGATTCTGCTCTTGCTCCTCCTGCCCTGATTCCAGTGCAGGGCTGGCCTTCCCACGGGGCGAACGGAGACGGCCGCCTCAGGTGCCAGACTGTGTAGAGGAGTTGAACAGGAAGAAGGCAGAATTGAGATCAAAGTCACCTGGTAAGCTATTGCTGGTACCCACCCGGAAAACGTCTCCCAGGGCCTGTCTACACTCAGAAGTTATTTCAAAAGTACTAAAATCAATTGGCTGTCTCCGTGACGACATCCTTTGCGGCCACTGTGATGAAGGAGGGTTAACCGTGCAGCCGACTCACTAGCCTGGTTGCCCATCATGTTTGTGCCTTTTACCTGCCATGACAGAAAATGAACTGGCTACGTCACCCCCCCTCCCCTCACCCAACGAGCTCCCTGTGTTGTTACTACGGGATGCCTGTGGAACCCAAGGAGGGATTTCTCACGTTACTCCACACGTAAGCCCTGTGGGCTGCCCGGAAGGCCATCGGCCATATTAGAGAGGCGATCACTGCCCATAGGATATGGTGGCCACCGATGGGGAAGGGATCCTGAAAAGTCCTTGTGCCAACAGGAGTCTGTTTGTGGTTGCTGCAGCGGATCATGTGTCGGGGGAAATTCACAAGTAGTGTGACGGGTGACTACAAGTGGCTGTAGTACCCGCTGCTGTTCCGCTTATCTCCCGCTGAATACACTGACTGTGTGGAACATCTTGTGTGTGTAGGCCCCATTGCTATAGCAACCTCTGACTTTGCCTGGGAGGGTCCTAGGTGCTGCCATCCAGCCCGAGAGACTACAACTCCCATGAGCCCTTGCGAAAAAGGAGGGAAACCGTTGCTCTCTCCCAGGCAGTGCAGGGAGAGAGCTGGTAGCCCCAGTTTGGAGAGAGGAGCCGGCTGGCCCGGGCGGGTTCTGGAGCCTGCCGGGGCTGGGATCTCGCCAGCTGCTGCAAGGCCCGGAGGAGATTGGTTCTGGCAGGGAGAGGCCTGGCGGAGAAGGGGTGCGGGGAAGATGCTGCGAGTCACTAGGGCTGTTGGCAAAGTGCTGCCCGGAATGCAGCCCACGAGCCAGGCTGACTCTGGGTCTGGAGAGTGGCTGAGGGAGCTGCCCAGGGCACCAGAGCTGCTGGAGAGCCTTTTCGCTACTCGAAAGGATCTGAAGTTACCTCTGCATCAGCTGAATTCTTTGTCACAAACCCCAGAGTTGGAACTTCCTGGGACTGCTGTGATCGGTGTCATCACTGATTTTATCATGGGGACTATGGTAGGACCTACAGTCCAGCACTGGCATGTGGGACCCTTTGGGCCACACCAAGCACAGACCGAGAGAGATTCTCCCCGCTTGAATGAGACACACATGCAATGGCCGAGAGTGATCAAGGATTGAATAATCCCTGTTTAACAGGTGGGATAACAAAGGGAGAAATCTGTTACTCGTGGGCAAATAGGGACACTTCTAAAGAGTCTGTACTGGAATCCAGGTGCCCTCTCTGCTAGGCATTGTCTTATTTACAGATAATTCCCATGGGCTCCTTAAATGGAAGTGTGTTGAGGAAGGGTGACCAGATGTCCCAATTTTATGAGGGCAGTCCTAGAATCCATAGCTCTTTTATTTTATAACCACCAAGTGCTCCGTGCAGGGAGATAGAATCACAAAACTCCAGAACGGGAAGGGACCTTGAGAGGTCATCGAGTCCAGTCCCCTACCCTCACGGCAGGACCAAGCACCATCTAGACCATCCCTGATAGACGTCTATCCAACCTGCTCTTAAATATCTCCAGTGATGGAAATTCCACAACCTTCCTAGTCAACTTATCCCAGTGTTTCACCACCCTGACAGTTAGGAAGTTTTTCCTGAGGTCCAACCTCAACCTCCCTTGCTGCAATTTAAGCCCATTGCTGCTTGTCCTGTCCTTAGAGACCAAGGAGAAGAATTTTTCTCCCTCCTCCTTGTGACACTCTTTAGATACCTGAAAACCATTATCATGTCCCCTCTCAGTCTTCTCCTCTCCAAACTAAACAAGCCCAATTCCTTCAGCCTTCCCTCCATCCTAGCTCATGTTCTCTAGCCCTTTCATCATTCTTGTAGCTCTTCTCTGGCCCTGCTCCAATTTCTCCACATCTTTCTTGAAATGCGATGCCCAGAACTGGACACAATCCTCCAACTGAGGCCTACTCAGGGCAGATGAATGATTTTTCGTGTCTTGCTCACAACACCCCTGTGAATGCTGATAGATCCCCGGCTGCAGGGGTGTGTTCCCACTGCCCGCTGGAATGAGAGCAAGTCAAACTGGACACTCATGTCCTTGAGACCGTGGCCTTCACCAACGTTGGTTAGGACTGAGCATGTGTGATGTGTCGGAGGCACAGCCGGCTGGTGGAAAGGAACGATGAACAGCCAGCTGGCTGGCCGGTGGAGGGTGTGGTGAGCAGTGGCCAATGAGTGGCCAATGCAGCAAGTGAGTAGGTGGGGGGTGAAGTTTGCAGAAGCCCCTCTGAAGCTCGGCTCTGCCCTGGCCAAGGACAGCGACTGTGAGAGGGATGCACCTACAGGTCACCACCCAGAGGGAAAAGGAGGCTTCCCAGCTGACTTGGGTGGGCCTTTTGCTCACAGATCAGGTTGAGGAACCCTGTTTGTCATGTTTCCTTGGGTCGACACTGACTTACCACCCTCTCCTTATCCAGATGTCTCTACACTCCCACTCTGGGGAAGCACTAACTTGGTAGGCAACCCAGGTCTGCTGTGAAATTGGCCCAGGTCACGAGGTGGCATCGCCAGCTGGTTCTGTGTTCTACCCATGGAAAGGAACCTCTGGATATTCAACCTCGCCCCTAGCTCTTATATTGTCGGAACAAATATTAACGTTTCCTTATTTACTTTCTCCACACCGCTCATGATTTTACAGACCTCTATCCTATCCCCCCTTCGGCTCCTTCTGTGTAAGCTGAAAAGTCCAAGTCTTTTTAATCTCTCTTCATAGGGGACCCAGTCAGTTTTGATGCCCTTTTCTGAACCTTTTCCAATGCCAAGAGATCTTTTTTGAGATGAGGCGACCGCATCTGGATGGAGTATTCCAGACGTGGGCGTCCCATAGATTGATAGAGAGGCGATAAGATGTTCTCCATCTTATTCACTATACCTTTATTAATGATTCCTAACATGCAGTTTGTTTTTTTGACTGCCGCTGCACAGTGAATGGATGTTTCCAGCGAAATATCCATAATGACTCCAAGATCTCTCTCTTGAGCAGTTGTAGCTAAGTTAGTTCCCATCACATCATATGTAGAGTTGGGATTATGTTTTCCAATGTGCATCACTTTACATTTATCAACATTCAATTTCATTAAACTAAACATCAACGTGCCGGCATGAGATCCCCCCACAGTTTTCTCAGCGCGACTTTCACCTCCTTGTTCCTCAGTGAGTAGATGACCGGGTTCAGCATAGGCGTCACCACGATGCCGAAGATGTGTATGGAGGTCAGCACCTGGCTCAGGTGGGGCTGGGTGTAGATCAGAGCGCAGGGTCCAAAGAAGAGCGTTACCACCGCCAGGTGGGAGGCACAAGTGGAGGCCGCTTTGCGCCACGCGTGGGCCGAGTTCATCTTGACGATGGCATAGACGATGCGGACGTAGGAGGCGAGGATGAGGGGGAAGCAGATCAAGGGCACCAGACCAACGTTGGTGAAGGCCACGGTCTCAAGGACATGAGTGTCCGCGCAGGCCAGCTTGACCACGGGGAAGATGTCACAGAGGAAATAGTCCACCACGTTGGACTCGCAGTAGGGAAGCGTGAAGGTCAGGCTGGTGAGGATAGCGGCATGGAAGGAGCTGGCGATCCAAGAACCGGTGGCTAAGAGGGTGCATACCTGCCTTTTCATGATGAGCAGGTAGTGCAGCGGGTGGCAGATGGCCACGTACCGGTCGTAGGCCATGACGGTGTAGAGCAGACACTCGGTGCTGCCCAGAAAGTGGCCAAAGAAGACCTGGGCCATGCACCCAGCTAGGGAGATGACTCTGCTCCATCCCCAGAGGATGGTCAGCAATTTCGGGACACTGACCGAAGAGAGGCCAATGTCCAGCACAGCGAGGTTGGAGAGGAAGAAGTACATGGGGGTGTGCAGGCGGCAGTCACCAAGGACGGCGGAGAAGATGAGCAGGTTCCCCAGCAGGGTGCAGAGGTAGAAGGCTAAGAAGGTGAAGAAGAGGATGGTCTGGAGACCCTCTGTGTTGGGGATCCCTAGGAGGATGAAATGAGTCACCATCGTGTGGTTGCCGAGGTCCATTTTGGACTCATTCCTGGGTAGAGGAGAGCAATAAGGACAGAGAATCATTGAAATAATTTAGAAAACCTTTTGTCCTGCAACGGTAAATCTCACCCTTCCATCCACTGCCCTCGCGAATCTTTTTCCTTGGACGTGGTGCATAGTTCTCTCACGGTCATGCCATTTGGGGTGAAGGCATCACAGGGCTACATCTGAGCATGGGACAAGGAAAGGTCTGCTTTGTAGTGTCCATAATACAAACGGAGAAACGGGATGTCTAGTCTAGTCTAGTCTAGTCCTCCAACCTATGCCAATTGCTTCTTTTCTATCCTACGCAGGCCCCAGTTCTAACCTTCAAGCCTGACATTCATGGCTAATACAATAATTACTCATTTAACATGTGCCCACTTAACATGTTTTTGCAATAGCTTGATTTTCGGGGGTGTGGGACATTTTTCGAATAATACGACCATCCCCAAAATAACACTAAATAATCAAGTGACAGACTACTTCATGCGGCAGTATGGGTTGGCAAAAACAGTGGTAAATATGCACGAGCGGATGAATATGCATGGTCACAGCGCTCCTCCGCTCACTCACATATTTATCTTTGTGTTTTAACAAAGCTTGGCAACTTGTGTTGCTAGATATCTGATGTTGACATTGATGTCCCAGCACCAACAAAAAATTGACGTTGCCACCATCACCTGACATGCGACCCCCGTCTTTTCCATTATTTTTAATGGGAAATTTGACCCCGCATAGCACGTTTCCGCTCAGCATGAACATTTTCAGACATTCATCTATAGTGTTCAATGAGGAATTACTGTATTTCTTCTTCCTAGGTCATTTTCGGGTATCTACAAGGGTGTTACAAGGAGGAAGGAGCAAAATTGTTCTCTGGCCTCTATGGATGGGACAAGAAGCAACGGGTTTAATCTGCAGCAAGGGAGGTTGAGGTTGGACCTTAGGAAAAGCTTCCTATTTTTCAGGGGGGTTCGAGAGAGGAAGCGTTTGACTTTAGCTGGGGAGTTTCTCTAAACAGGAGACAAAGGGCCAAGGGGAGGCACTGGTAGGTCGGGGCTATGGGAAGAGGGAGGTGAATGAGGCAGAGACGGGCAGGCGGGTGCCGCACAGGGGAGGACGGAGGGACCGATTTCACTCCAGGGCGATATTTTTCCCCGATGCGAGGTGGACAGTGACCGGTTCAGAGACAGGCAGGGAGAGAGAGAGAAGAACTTGCCCAACGCAGGAGCCTTCCATTGGCTGCATCCAGAATGGTCCTTCCAGCTAGCGGCAATTTGCTCTTCCTGTCCCCGAGCGATGGTTCTAGCATCTTCAGTCTGTCTCATCCCAACGGCCCCTTGGCTGGGAATTGGGCACAGCCTGGGTGCTTGCAAGGAGCCCTAATGCCCGCTGACCTGAACAAGGGCTGCTGGAAGCATATTGCCCCATGCTGCTGCCCGCCCCATGGCTTTCTCAGCACTTCCAGCCTCCCTGCGGCTCTCCTTGGTCTTTATAGCCCGTCTGGCCCCATGGGACCAGGGCCTTGGGTCTCCTCCTGGCTCCCGGTCTGAGACCTCAGCAAAGTCGCCAATTAATTGAGGCTGTGCAGCATTTCAGATCACGGTCGTAGGCCCCTGGGACCCGGCCCCTAGGCGCCATAAATAGCCGTAGCACCATGGGACGGAAATTGAGACCTTTCCAAGTTTTGGCCCAAGCAAGGGGGAATGGGGGCATCATTTGAGCTCCCCACCTCAGGTGCCCAAATATTGGGGGCCAGCCCTACTTCCGGGGAACCCCATCAGGTTCCCTTTGGCTGTGTCCCTTCCCTGCCACATGCCCGGTGTCACTCAGGAGAAACTGCACTGGGATAGGAGAGGCTGAGAATCGAACCCAGCCATCCCCCGGTGGATGGGATGTTCTTGCTCACTTAGGCCTTCCTGCCATGCAACACAAGCCAGGGAATTGTCCCAAGGCCGGATGCTGCTCAGACACAATGTGGAACGGACCCCACCTTTCAGTGTTCACCAACACAGTAAGGAGGCTCTTGTGCAAGGGGAAACTGAGGCACAGAGGCTTTCCGGGTAAAGGAGCCAGGCTCCCCCATCTCACTGGGCACCTCCTTCCTACTAGCTTGGTGAAACTCTCCATCTTGATTGAGCTGCCTACGGGCGCAATAGTTGTCTGTTTGAGAGACTGGAATCGGGTTCAGATTTTTGAGGTTCCAGTCGGCGTGTTAGCCGTAACACCCTCCTCTTCTCCTGGGGCTGAACACAGCTCTGTCTCTTTCTGAGCCCCACGGATGGTCTCTTACATTCTCATTTGCACAGTCAGCGTTCAGGAGAAGGGGCCTTTAGGAACAGAAGAACACAAGGACGGCCAGGCTGGGTCAGAATAAAAGTCCATGTAGCCCAGTGTCCTGTCTGCCAACAGTGGCCAGCGCCAGGTGCCCCAGAGGGAGGGAACACAAGGAATCATCAGGCGATCCCTCTCCTCTCACCCCTATCCAGACAAACAGACACGAGGAACACCATCCCAACCCACCCTGGCTAATAAGTATTGATGGACCTCACCTCCGTGAACCTATCTAGTTCTTTCTGGAAGCCTGTTTAAGTCCTGGTCTTCTCAACATCCTCCAGCAAGGAGTTCCACAGGTTGACTGTGCACTGCATGAAGAAAAACGGCCTGTGGTTTGTTTACAACCTGAGACCTATGAATTTCATTTGGTGACCCCTAGTTCTTCAGAGCATGGTGGCTGATTGAATCAAACCAAAACTGGCTTGTCACTGGGCAAGAATAGCTACCTGCCTCATTCCTACATGCTCTGGGGGTTGGTGGTGGTTAGCTACAGTGGTGGGAAACTCTTTCATGGGCAGAGACAGCACCTGGTTAGGGAGACAAGGGATGCTATGGGGTTGACACAAGAACGGCCAGATCGGGGCAGACCAAAGGTCCATTCAGCCCAGTGTCCTGTCAGCCAACAATGACCAATGCCAGGTGCCCCAGAGGGAAGGAATCGCAACAGATAATCCTCACCTGATCCCTCCCCGTCACCCACCTCCAGACAAACAGAGGCTGTGAACACCAGTCCTACCCAGCCTGGCTAATAGCCATTAACCTCCATGAATCTATCTAGCTCTTTTTTGAACCCTGTTAAAATCCTGACCTTCACCACATCCTCTGGCGAGGAGTTCCACAGGTTGACGGTGCAGGTTGACAGATGTCTGGCTGTGGGCTCTACTGACAGACAGCCCATCCAGCCGGCGCTGACCTGCACAAGAAATTCACACACTCGGTTCTCAGAGAAGACCCCCGGTTTGGTGTGTTGCCAGCAACTCATGGCTCCCATTCCCCGCTCTATGTTTAAAGAACACTCACATGTGAAGGTCCGTGACAATGGACCAGCTCGGTGAACAGTGGAAATTTCCATTCTCGCCCTGGCCAAACACACGGCCTCTGAGATACGTCTTTATGCAGAGAGATGAACAAGTGACGTATTGGGGTGTCGCTCATTCTTGTATGCGGGTGTGCCCCGTTATTTTGCCCATGTGAACAGCTGCAAAGAGTTGGCTACTTTAGCTCAGGCTTCAGACCTCACCGCAGGCCTCTGCTACACAGCCTCAAGTCTCAGACTGTCTTCCCACCCCTAGGAATGATCTCCCCCATCTATCGACTCCAGCTCCCGCACCGGCAGTTTTAACA